TTTCTTCTCATTTTGTTGTTTGCTTTTTTTGGTCTGTGAACGTGGTTGGGGAGTGTTATAGTTGCTCCATGTTACAGCACCGACAGTTCACTAAATGCCAAGAGGTGGACCCAGTGATTGTGTGCCGCCTCTGTGAAGACTCATGGGACGAACCGATAGAGCTGCAGCCATGTGGTCACTTCTTTTGCGAAGCTTGCATCAGCGAGTATGAGAGCCGATTCCCTAAGCGATTCTCGCCGATAGGTGGCAGTGGCAGTGGTAGTGGTAGGGGCGCGTCAACCCTTTTGTGCCCAACGTGCAACTGCAAGGTGGAGAGGCGCGATCGTCCTAACCGTATCCTTGTGAACATGGCTCTTGAAGTTGAGGTGAAGTGCAGACGATGCGAATGGAGAGGGAAAAGGGAAGAAACCCAAAAACATACTTGTCCTGTGCCGCCTTTACCGTCGACGGAAGTGAAATCGACACCGAATTCTACTAAAAGTGCTGCCCATATATCGATGATCAACACAAATCTGGATGACGCGCTTAGGAACTTTGGCGAGGTAGATGCTTCCGCTCAAAACAGTACTTTAATGGCTCCTGCAGAAGATCTGCCACTGACTGAGAGGCCCGCGCGGCCGCTAGTGCAACCGTTAGCGCATAACTTAGCGCAGCTATCGATGCGGAGCCCAGAGAGGCGATCGCAGCCATTAGTGCAGCCCCCTGTGAGACCAGCAGTATGGCCACCACCGCGGTCATCGTCCAATGAAAGATTGTGGGAACAATATGGGCTGAAGCAGGTTGAGTATGATCAGATCATGGGTGTTTTCATGCACTTCGATACTGAAGGTAGTGGCTTCCTAACCAGATCACAGCTACGGGATCTTGCCTTTAGCCTAAACTACGTCAACCGAGAGGAAGATATTGACCGTATACTTTCGGAATTGGGGTGCGAAGAGGGTGGAGGTGTTATGTTCCATGATCTTTGTATTTGGCTGGGGAGCCACCACCCCGACCCACAGGCGCTCTACGGTTTGTCGCGGTTCCAGTACACAGAGGTCCTGCTGCAGTTCCGTAGCTTTGATACGGAGAATAGGGGCGCACTCAATTGGGATGCGTTTAGGCAACTCTGCCTGAAGAACGGATATGCTGCAAATGAGGGAGAGGCCTTAAAGTTGTTTCGTTCCTGTACTACGGGTGATGAGACGCATGTAAGCCTCCGCCAGTTTCTCTCGCTTTGCCAACGCCTATGGGGCGTGAATGATAATGCTGGAAACCAAACGCAGTCGCCAAATATATTTCAACAACAACAACAACAACAACCATGGCAGACGCCATCCCCCTTGCCGGGTCCCACGTGGCCGGCTGATGGCCAAGGTGGCAATGACTCTGTTGCCGAGCCATTTCCACTCACACAGTTTCCCACGCACGGAAAAAAGAAGAAAGCATGCTCTGTAATGTAGTGAAGCTGTGTGTGCCCCCCAAGCCATCTCATATCAAGCATACTGTAGTACCTGGCTGGAATATGAAGGGGAGGGGGAAGGAAAGTAGCCAGAAAATATAAGTGGAGGGAAGAGACGTTCGTGGGAGGAACCCCTTTCTTTTTTTTTTGCCTTTGTTCTCGATGCCGCCTCTTCATCTGAAGTTCTGCCTGAGTGAGTCTCCTCGATACACACCGAGCTGGGGGTCTTGTTGTCCGCCAACTGCCCCTTTTTTTTCACCGCTGCCGTGACCATTCCCACACTATAAGACGTGTGGACATCTTTTTTAAATCACCCGTTCTGTAATTGTTTTTCACTGCCTCAGGCCACTTGCCGCAACTGGCTCTTCTACTTCCGTTTCGCTCGTGGAAGGTAGGGGATGCTTGCATGATAGGCATGGGAAGCTGCGCGGCTGAGTGGGGCGACACTGCCCTGTAAAACAGGTCGTTTTCAGCCGCGCCAGAACTTTTCCTTCGGCTTCCTTGTGGGATACATCAAGAGCGCATTAAAGCGTATGGGAATGGACATTGTGACATCCTACTGCTCGATCACCGCGACAACGAGTCTAAAGATATATTATTTATCTATTTTTATTCGTGGTGTTATTATTATTGGCCCTACAAGGGGGTTCATCTTCTTTGAGTGCTGCCTCAACTGCGTCATTGTGGGCTGATGCACCCAACTGCACTTGCGAGGGTGTCGTCGGCCACAGCTCTTCCTCTCCGTTTCGACGATTCCGATACTCGAGAGCAGCGGCATCGTTATGAGATCACTTTCTGATTGGCTTGGATACCTGCTGATGCCATTGCGCATGCAATGCCCCGAGGTTTTCATGGTGGGCATATTCTACGCGGCAGCATACGACTTCACACCAAACCCTGGGGGCAAAGGCGATGTGACGAATGGCAACCCTAATCCCTAGTACAGTGACCAGATAAGGTTCAACTGTGCCTGCTGTCAGCGGTGGAGACTGTATGGACCGCACACAGGGCCGTGGATCGGCAGAGACGCCGACGATGAGGTTGCGCGTTGACTTGGTAGCAATGGCGGCAGCGCTGGCATTGGGGCCCTGTCTCACCGCTGCTACCCGCGTGTACACCTTTTCTTGGTCATCTTCACAGTGACGAGCAGCAGGTGTAGGGGGTGGCGGCGCTGGTGGTCTTCGCGCAGCTCCCTCTGGAAGTCGAGGGTTTCTTTGGACTTTTCCGTCAAACTGCCTTGGCACTCTTTGCCTTCGACAGCCTGTCCGCTGTCGCAGACGGTCAGTGGCGGCTACGCGTCTTTGCGGTGCCCACAGCCGGTGGGGGTCTTGCGATCGCGACGCGTATCATGTATGGCATTAGGCTTACTTGCTGCCGCGCCATCGTCACTGGGGTGCGAAATGCTGTTGCGCAGGAGAACGTGGACGACACCTCGATTGTGCTGAACAGCGAGGGGGGCTGTACACTGCACCGAAGCACTGTTGCATGACCGCATGGCGCCAGTGCTGGGAAGCATAACGGTCTCCGTTTTTTTTGGAACCGACGCGGCATTCCGAGACGCGGTCGCTGAATGGGTTTCCGCGCATAGCTGGACGGGCACACATGAGTATTTCTCCTCGCTCTGCTGCGGCAGGTCGCGGAGACGGGGGCTTACCGCTGAGGGGGCGCATCACATTTGCATGCCGGACACCGCGTCATCATCGTTCTCGTCGCCCATGAGCAACAGGAAGAGCCCTGGCTTCACCAATGAAGATGATAATGACGATGTGAGGAGTGGTGACGGCGTAAGTCTTTCTTCTCCACACCGCCTTGCGCTCTGCTAGGGATGAGGGATGTGTGGGGAACCGGCGGCGAGGGAGAAGTCTGTGCCGCTGAACGTGTCACCCTCTCTCAGAGATGCGAGTGCTCTACAGAAGAGTTGCTTCCTGCCTGTGCCGATAATAGGGTTCACCATCATTTGCGCCTTTTAAGTGAAACATATAGCTTGTGGGACGCGATGCTGCACTCTCTGTGAATAGATCATTGACAGAGAGAAAGTGACTGCATCCGGTGCCGTTTTTTCTTTTGCTTGCAATTGCGTGCCAATAAGGTACCCGCAGTGTCTGTGCGAGGGGAAACGTGTGTCTATTTCTCGCTGGTCAATTGGTGGTGTGCTCATGTCGACTCTCGTGTGTGCAATGCAGATTGTATTGGTTCTTGCATATGCGTCTCTCTTTCCTTTTTCTCAATGCTATTGTCTGTTTTTTTTTTGTTCGTGGGCAAACTAGGTTGCGAAAGAGGCAGTGTGAACATAGTTTGGGAAAGGTGCTTCCTCTGGAATGAGTGAGTTCGAAACATTCATGTTGGCGGCGGCCGAGCGGGCCCCATTTCTGCTTGGCGAGACCACCGTACCTTTGTCCCAGCAACCGCAGCAGCCACAAAGGAAAAGACCTCGAGATAATGATGAGGTGCTGAGCGCTGGGGGTGCCAAGAAGCAGCAGACTCGGGAGGAGATCATCTCACGGCTACAGCGGATGCTGGTGGACGGACCATTGCAGCCGCTTGGGGCTGAGCACGCGCTGTACCACGTCCTTCTTCCCGCATTTCTCGCTGCCATGCAGGCAGCGCGGAGCGTGTGGGAGGCAAAACAGGCCCTCCAAACCTCAGGGGAGGCAGGGCTTGCGAGGGAGGAGGGCAAAGGAGACAGTAGCGGCAGCGGCGATGCTTCTGCTCTCAGCGCCGCCGCGGCGGCGGGAGGAGAGACCGGCACCCAGCAGCGACCGAGCGCGGAGGCCTTGCAGCGCGCTGTGTCTTCCGCACAGACGACGTTGAGTGCTCGGCGGCGCGACCTGGACGCCGCCGAAGCGAAAGTCCGCTTGTTGGTGAGGTCCATGACACAGTACGTTGACTCGGTGACGGAGCGACGCGGTGAGGTGGACGGGTAAGAAAACTGCGGCGCGGCCTTCGGCTTGTGTCATTTTCACTTGTTTTGACTGCGCTCACTTCTCTGATGGGGCGCTTTTGTTCCTTTGCCTCTGAACAATTCTCCCCTTTCATTCTTGCACCCGGGCCAAGGGGCATATTTTATACGCACCTGCTTTCGAGTGTAGTGGAACAGCGAAGAAAAAACAAACGATCATGCAGGTGTTTGGTGGGCAGATGACCACACGTGGGGGCCGCCCACTGCCGCTCTCGTACTACATGCAGTCACCGGGATCGACGGCGACGGCGGAGGAGGCGCCGCCCGTCGACCCATTTACAACAGTGCTGGGCGGCCGGACGTTCCACGAGGCGCTGCGGAGCGACAACGGCTTCCCAGTCGTCACGTCGTTCCTGCTGGGCGGCGTGGACGCCAACGTGCGCGACAGGAATGGCGCGGCGCCGCTGCATCTGGCGGCCGCGCGGGTCACCTCGACGGCCCCCGGCGGTGGTGACGACAACAACGATGACGATGATGAATTGGGCGCCGCTGACTGTCCCAACCGGATGATCATCGCGTTTCTCATCGACAACGGGGCGGATATCAATCTCCGAAATTCAGCCGGCGAAACGCCGCTGATGGTTGCTGCCGCCACGCTGAACGTCGGTGCGCTGCGGCTTCTGCTAGAAAAAGGGGCCGACACCACGCGGCGCGACGATATGGGGCATACAGTTTTGTATCACGCCGCCCCATACCCACACGTGTTGCAGATGATGCAGACTTGGATGGAAGACCTTCCCGAACGGGTGGCACGGGAGTATCTCTTGCATAGAGTTTGTCGACAGGGACGTGGCGCGGAGTTCACCGCTCTTTTCTTCATTGAGCAGCTGGGTGTCGATGTAAATGCGCGCGAGGGTGAGGCCGCTGCTGTTGCTGCTTCTAACGACAACGACGACAAGGGAATGGTTAACCACCATGAGTGGGAGTCAACGGCTGTGGTGACGGTACAGGATGGGTTTACCCCACTGCATTGCGCCGTGCTCGCCGGGGATACTCTCCTCGTCTGCACGCTGCTGCTGAAAGGCGCCGATGCAGAGAAGCCTGACGCTTCAGGTGTGACTCCGATTCAACTGGCGGCCAAATATGCGATGCCGTCTTCGGCACCGTGCTTCCTCTTGCGTTTCTGCAGAGCACTATTGCCGCTTCGCTCGGGAAGCGCGGCTGCGAAGGGCGAAAACCCGAGAAGGGTATACGCCATTTTAAACACATACCGCAATGAGACGTCGTCTTCCCGACGCGAGGCGATGCTGCAACGTGAGGTCGCCAGGGGCACTTCGCTGTGGGACCTCAACACCACTCGTGATGTTGTGTTGTTCGCGGTGGCGGCGACTCTTCCGCATAGCCTCGTTGCACTTTGTGCTGCTGCGACGACGCACTTATGGGTTGCGATTGCTGTTGCTCTTCTGTGCCTTTCGTGGTGCGCGAAGTTTAACAGGTGCGACGCCAGGCGCTGCAATGCACGGCCGTTGCGGTCGGTGGGGCTCTTCGCCGGCTACGCCGTGGTGTTGTTCATGTGCTGCGTCACCCGACTCGGCGCTGCAGGCCCCATGCTGCTCTTCTGTGCCGCTGCCAGTGTCGTCTGTGCGTTGCTAGTGGCGTTCAGGGGCCCCGCAACGGTTGAATCCACCGCGACACAGCGGCTCGGCATCTACAAGACGTTGTTCCACGCGAAGGGCGCGCTGCCGGAGGACGTGCGGCACAGCATCGACCTGCACTGCATGGTCAAGAAGCCGCTGCGGGCGCAGCGCTGCCGTCATCTCGGTCGCGTGGTGTTACGATTCGACCACTACTGCACGTGGCTGGCTAGCAGCATCGACGGCAGCACTCACCGTGCGTACGTCGCCTTTCTCTTTTTTTATACTGCGCTTCTCGGAGGACACTGGTACGGAGTTTACACGTCAGCGCCACAAGGCGATATTGCGGACGCGTCTGATAGAGATTTGGCGTTGCAGCGCTATATTGAAGTCTACGTGTGGCTTGTGCTACCAGTTGCCTTTTCGTTTTTCTTGCTTACGCTGCTGCAACAACTGTGGTATATTGGCCGTGAGGTTACGTCATACGATGTGGCGCACCCTTCGCGTTGCCCGTGGTGCTTCACGTTGGGGCCGCGCACGTACTCGTTATTTGACGCCGGTTTCACTGAGAACATGCGCCGCTTCTTTCTGATGCGTGAGGATTTTTTGGCTCGCAACTACCGCATGCCGTCGATGAGCGCAAGGCTGCAGAAGATGGTAAAGGACCACCAGGCAATGCAATTTTCGCCTTGCCAAAACGGCCGTTGCCACTCACACGCTCATGGAAACGTCGGAGACTCGCACAATGGACACTTGGAGCTGGCGCAGGATCAGAGCCATTGCAAGCCACAGCAGCTGCCGTCACAACAGCAGCAACGACAACAAGCGATGCCCGGTTTTAATTTATTCGCGAATACAGACAATAACAGTGGGAGGGGAGCCAGTTCTTTGGCAGGTGGAGAAGAAGCTGCAGAGGCCTTTGTTGCCGCGCCCGCTGCGTCACCAAATCCTGAGGCCGCTGTGGGGCGCCTCTTTCAGCTAATGGTGCAGCACAACAGCGCCGACGTGACGGCTGCGGGCGATGTGCAGGCCAGTATTCCTCCAGGGGAGTGGCAGGAGGTGGTGGCGAAGGCACAGAACATGTTCGGCTTCTTCAAGAAGTCATTGAATGGGGGAAGGTGACACGTCGCGCAAAGAGTGCCTACCAGAGGAGCGAATAGGTACGCGTGTGCGGTTTCTTTCTTGGCTGCAGGTTATGTGCTACTGACTGAACCGCTGAATACTACTACACCCACCTACACACACATACACGCAGAAGTACAATGCTTTTTTTTCTGTTTTCGGATTCTTCCCTTATCATTAAAAAGAGGAAGCGGTTGTGAACGCCACAGGCTGTTGGTGCTTCCATAAGGAGGAGAGAGCCAAACGGACACACACACACACACACACACACACACACACACCAACAGGAACAAGATCACACACAGTTTTTGCATTTTGCCCGAAAAAAAAAGTGAATAGGGAAACAAACAAGAAACAAGGGAATCTTTGGGGCGGATACTCATTGAGAGAGGACGTCACAGAACCAGAGAATTACACACAACCATCGCTTTAGTAGCTGCCAATAGGGAAGGACAAGTGCTCTTGAGTGGGGTGTCTTGTTGATCTCCCACCGTTCTCAAGTCACTGCACGTCCCCTTTCCCGTGTAATAATTCAAAAAAAAAAGAAAAGGCGGATGATGGACCACGAAAACGTGGCTGAGGAATGCAACAGCAGCTACATCATGGAAGCATGCGCGGGTTCCAATGACTGCGGCAGTAGTGCCTCTAGTAGCCACGATAGAGAGCAGCAGGAGCAACAGCAGCAGTTGCTACAGGCGATGGGCACCCAAGAGGTGCACAACAACCCCTTCCCCAGTTGCGGCTCGAACCCGCTGGAGGACGAGTGGCAGCCGACGTGGGCGCACGCATTGCCTTCGTCGGGTGGCAGCGAGAGCGCTGCTGGCGTCGCGTGCGTCCGCCCGCCCTCACCGGACTGCGCGGAGTTGGGCGTGCAACCACCGCCGCCGTCGCCGCCATCTGCCAC